TTGGCTTTACTACTCGTTCCCTGCTGACTTTAATGTTTTTCGGGAAGGAAGGTGGTTCCTTTTACGAGCCAATAACGAGGAGTTCGTGGAAGGTCGATACGAGGACGCGACGCCCTTTGTGTAATTGTGAAGCGTAATTTATTTACGGCACAGAGTCGTGGTATACCTTCCTCGTGCTGCATATTACGACATATTACTCTCCCGCATATACGTGTTTAATATCAATCTCGCTATTTGATTAAATATCCCCATCGAACGCGATAGCGCGGAAATTACCCGCGGCGTTGTTCGATACGACTCGCGTTGAGTGGAAAAAACACCTATGTAATTATCGCATCGCTTTTTTTTTCGAGTCGCTCACGTTAATAAACTGTAAATTGCAAATTTTATATTAATTACCAGTCGATCGATTTCCGTTCAATCGGCCTACCGTCAGTAATTTCCCTATGTGTTCGTAAAAGGCTCGAAATGAACCTGTAATATACATGAAAAAAAAAAAAATTACACGGAAATGCAGAATTACAGAGTTGAATACTGTTAAATATCAGCAAGCAATCCAATCATTTGAGGTAAATAACATTTTCTTAGTTTTAATTTCTTAGTTTTAACTTTTATATGTTTAAATATAAATTAATTTTTATTTACTATGGTTAGTTTTAACGTAAACGATATCCAAATTAATACATGTATTTAGTAAATAATAAACTAAATTAGAATTAAATTTAATATATTTTTTTTAGTTAAATAGTTTAACTTTATTATTTTAGTTAAATTAACCCTTAAGTACTGAGATTGGTCCATGGGACTGCGCGAAAAAAAACAAAACAAAATATCTGTCTCATTTTCGCTTTCAAGTGCTTCATTTGTTGTGTAGCTTTCGTCCAGACAGTGACGCGTAAGCCACGGTAGTAAAAGTACGATACTTGCGCAGATTACGGTGAGTGCAGGGCTTTCTTTTCTTTTACGTGGTTCCCTGAACCAACCTCAATACTTAAATAGTCTATTGATAAGCATTGTCAATGTTTTTATTTTGAGAGGTAGACTTATGTTTATTTTTTGTTTAATAGTTTTTATCTTTGTTTTTGAAAAAAATGTAGATTTTAAAGTTTTATCATTTAGATTTTTGTTTATAGTGTGTATATAAAAGGTATTTTTATTGTTTATTACAAGTTTACTAAAAGTGGAAAAAAAGTTTCTTAAAGCCAAATAAAAAATATTTTGTTAAAATACTTTCATAAAGACTCATTTATAACGATGTAATCAATAAAACATAGATTTAAAAAACTCCTGTGTTTTTATTCCATTTTTTTTTAAATCGATGTCCCACGGACCAACCTCAGTAAAAATGTCATAATTTGTAACCTCAGTACTTAAGGATTAACAACATATTGAGTAGAAGCAGTGACGACCTACAGAAATAATTAAAAATAACTCAAATTGGGTATAATTTGACATTATAAACAGTGAAAAGAAACAGATGTCATAGTATACGTTTTCTTAATTTTTGGGTCGCGTAGAAAACCAAATTTTTTTCTGTTAAGAATTTGTTATTAATTCTGAAAATTTTAGAAAATCTTATTCTGTAACAATTTTTTTCGTTATTATAGAATCTACATCTTTTGACTCGTGTTCCTGACTTAAGATGTCCGTATCCGAAAGTTGCTACTGACAATCTCCGATTGCCATTACTCGTTATCAGCGTATGCTTTTCAATGATGTTTGTGTCGACTTGTGTCAGTGTCACTAAATGACAACCACTGTTTATCCATTTAACGGCCAATCTATACATTTTTCGGAAGATCCGGAATAAAAAAAAGGAAAGACAAGGACCGTCGTTGTTTCATACATCTGAAATTCTTTTTTCTTGCATGTCGCGTGAATTTCAGGAAGCGTCTTTGACTTGGGTGTGGTGTATATATTGAATACACTGGGGTTAAAATGGATAGCAAAACGTGCTTTACGTGGCGGAGCGAGAAAGAGGAGGAGGAGGAGGTGGAGGAGAAAAGGAAATAAGAATTCCCTGTCGGCACTGGGAAACTGCTCTCCCTCCGGATATTTCTTTCTCTGGCAGTCTGACAAGCGGAGAATTTTCATTCCGCGTGTGCGCGTCTTAGTATCTAAGGTAATATTCCTCGCGGCACCGGCTACTCCTGAGATATTAATTCTTAATCTGTCATCCTGGAGAGATCCTCGGCCGGTCGATTTCGCGCCAAGATTTTCTTCGCGCCCGGCGCGATGCGGTTTATTAAATTTCGTCAGTCGTCTCGTCAATATCACGTAGTTATAAGTATTTTTGACGAATGTCTTTTATGTATCTCCATCGTTTTATGTATCGCTATCGTTGAAATGAATCAGATCGGTGGCGATAATATTAATTAAAAATGACTGTACTATATCTCTTTTTTATTTAGCTTTTTGTCTTCACTCTCATCTTCTCTTTCTCTCTACTGTGAATTTTTAATATGCAATAATTTCCATCAATTTGTGTGTGTGTGTGTGTGTGTGTGTGTGTTTGTCGGATTGATAATTTGATTAAAACCATGACAACTTTAATTTTCATATCAAAAATAAAAAATAAAAATTTGTAATTTAAAATGTGTAATTAATAATTACATATAATAAATCACATTTCTTTTTAAATATTTCTTATCAATACCATCTTTTAATTAACGAAAATTATAAAATGTAATGATATTTAAAAATATAAAAATCTTGGGTATTTTTATTTAAAAAAAAAAATACGATTAAAAAGATGTTTTATATCATGTATAGATTATATTTAATTTTTTGACATTTCAAGAAAATGAAATCTTGAAAAAACTTTAGGTGTCCAGTATCACTCAATCTTCCCCTCTACAAATATTACTCTACCAATCATCAAAAGTAAACTAATTTAACTTCATAAAAAAATCGTCAAAATCATTACGACTCAAAAAGGGTGATTTAAAAATATTCGTCACAGCTAAAAAAGAGTGACTTTTTAAGGATTGTGAAATGATAAAAATAACACATTTGATGTTAACCCAGATAACATTTATGTTGCATAAGATATCTGAAGACGTCTTTTAGATATCTTATGCAACATGCATGTTATCTGGGTAAGAATACATTCTTTTTGTCGATAAGCATGAATATTATTTGATTAGTCAATAATTCTGTCAAGCTTTCCTCTTTTCTAGGAAATTAATTTTTTTAGTTGGAAAGCACTTTTATAGCGATATGATAATATATATGAGAAAAAGACCTCAAAAGAGAGATAAAATTATTTTAGCTGTTGCTTTATTATAATATCTCTAGTGAAAAAGTTTTGCTGAAATTTTTCCACGTTTTAGAACATTTCAGGGAAATTGCTGAAAATTTGCTGAAACTTCACTGAAAGTGAATTTTTCAGCTAACATACTGAAATCCAACTGAAATTTCTCTGAAATTTGTTTGAAAATTTTGCTGAAATTTTTCTGAAATTTTATCGAAAATGAATTTTTCAGCTAAAAATCGCTGAAATTAAACTGAAATTTTGTTGAAAAGTATACCAAAACGTGGAATAATTTCAACAACATTTTTCCATCAGGGATTTGCTACTTATAATACTTTTGCTCTTGACAGTGATTATTCTCCGTTAATCTAACTGCTCCAAGTGTCAAAGTTTATCGCACGAAGAGTAACGTACTTCCCAGAACCCCTCCTTTGGCGCACTTGTTGCTCAAATAGCGGATACCGGGAGACGTATCGTCGTCACCCACGTGTTTATCGTACAAAAATCCACGTTTAAGCTTGTTACCCTGTACATATATGTATATACACACGCACATTGCAATTCACAATGCAAATGTCTTCGTAATGTCGCGTGTTCGAAGCAAAAAGTAAAGACACGTATAACTTTTTCATGCGATTTTGAGTAGGAAAGTTTTTAATCGGCTCGCTTGCGTAGCCGAGGCGTGTCGCTTTGAAGTAAAAATTTCTTAACGACTTCTTTTAGAAACTACGGACCACAGAAATAGGATCCCGGAAGTACCTAACTCTTGAGGGAATGACTTACAATCTCCATGGTAAAACGAGAAGAGCATCAGATGCGCTCTCTTGTTTTAATGGTGCCTCCTTTGACGAATCTGTGGCCGGGCTTTTTGCAAAAATTTAATGAGAGACTAACGTTCTAATTTTCAACATTAAATACATCCATAATTAAGACGAGTGATGTATATATATATATATATATATATATAAAAGGTAACCAGACCCTGTATATGGTCTACTTAAACTTTGCAATTTTTTCTAATTTTTTTGTTGAGTTCAAAATTGAAAACTGATGACCAGATTTAAAATAAGAAATATTTCCGAACATAAAAAAGGTTACAATCGATGTGTGTACACTCAGTATACCTAGGTTGGCTGTATTGGTTCTGTCTTACAAAGAGTTCCCTCTCTTTAATTATAAACAAAACGTCGTGACGAAAATATCAACTAAATATAGTGTAAAGTATAAATACAGTACTACAACAAAATGGACTATGGGAATTAATAACCACCTCTTGGTAAATATAGGAATTACTTATCTATATACGAAACATTAAATCACAACCATGATGTTTGGGATTTTGCTTTACTGACAATAACAGAATGAACAAACTTCATAATAAACTGATGCAATCTAGTCAGACAGACAGCTTGCACAACTTACTAATGTTATCTGTTAAATTCACCAACATATTATCTGTATGCTTACCCACAAATATAGCGAGTACGGCATGAAACTTTTTTCTATTCAGAATTATGAGTTAACAAACTGTACGATGGTTTATAAACACGCTAAATTTACAAATTTCTCGATAAAATATTAACGGGCAAATGATATTGTTAATGTATAAATACGGATAATCGTATTCAAATGATTGTATTCGGGACGTATGAATAAACCTTATCACGGTTGAGAGTATAGTAAACGCGATATGCAGACGTGAGTCAATATTAATTACGCGTCAGCATCTCTGAAACATCTCGCTGAAATCCGTCAAGTGTTTGACACAGGGCATATGTCCTAAATACGATGGGAGCGGCATAACCCATTATTTATCTAAAGCTCTACTACACGTACGTTAACTTGATAAAGTGACTAAGTTGCATTATCGCGAGTATGCCGCTAACTATTGATTTTCCGAAAATATCATACTTAAGACTTCGGGGAGTTTCCACTCAGCATTTACGCCCTTACCTTATCAATACCGCGCACATGTATAGTGTATTCGTGAAATGCTTAGCTAAGGAGTGCTCGAGACTCCAGGACGGAGATAATGTTACCCCGCTGATTCCAGTTTCTCCAACCGTAAGACATCCGTGCAAGCAAGTAATCCGACCTATATCCTCTTACGAGTGTAATTTTATAATTCATTAATTTAGCGAGTTTGCTTTGCTGCTAGAATTAATTACTACGATTCAATGAACTATTCAAGAATATATAACTAAGTATATCTCTCTCTAAGGCTTCTGTTTACATCAAAATAAAATTTTATTTTAGATTTATCTGAATTTGAATTTTTCTATTATCTAAGGTTTTTTTAACGCAAATTAAATTTGTAGATATTAAATTAAACATAGATTTATAGATATCAAATTTTTATATATGTATATATATATACATATATATAGAGTTGAATTTAACTTTATATATATACAGGGTGTTTCCAAATTAAATGGCAAAACTTCGGGAGCGTGTAGAGGAGTAAAAAACTAAGAAAAAAAG